ACTTATCTCTTTGTTCTCAGAACAGTCCTTGTTAGCATCACTGAGCCTTGAATCTCCTTCCTTATTAGTATAACTGTACCCTGGGTTTTTTCCTCTGTTTACCTCAGGTGGCTGTGATCGACTTCTGCAGGGAGCTATGGCTGACCAGCTCCTGCAGAGAGCTATGGCCTTGCTCTCTGCAAGCCGTTCTCCAACACCCATTCAACTACCCTGTGTTCCCAAGGGCTCGGTAACTCTACCCCAAACCACCAGGACTCAAGCATTCTTATTTGCCACTGTATCATACCTTGGAAGGGAGTATAATCACGAGTTGCTTTAGATCCTCATAATGCCATGAAAATAATTGCAGAGCTTTTCATCCCAATTCTTCCTATTGGCTCTGCACCATTTTGTTAAAGCTTCCTTAACTCTGCTGTTTATGTGTTGAGTAAATGTGAAGGTGTGGGTTGCCGTGCAGTGTGGAACCTTTGCTTTATTCGTAGGGCATTGCACAGCTCATGCATAACTGTTCAGACAGAGTGGGCTCTGAGATCAGAATCTATGGTATGGGGCATACCTGCTCATGAAAAGATTTTAAGTAACAGATTTACAGTGGTGGCTGCAGTGTAGGTTTTTCTGAAAGGATCTAATACTACCTGTATTTGTTGTTTGAGCTGTCACTGACAGATGTCCCACAAAGTCAATCTGCAGTCATACTCATAGGCAATTAATACATTGGTGCTGGACTGGGGCATTTACTCCACCATAATCTCCATTGGCTGTGCACAAGGAAAGGTGGTTCTCACACAAGTTATATACATCCTTCTTCCTGTTAGGCCACCAGCCAGTGTCTTTCACTATTCTCAGAATGTTTGCCTTACCTCTGTGGCCTTGCTAATATAGGCATTGGATTAGGTATTTGTGGTGGTTTGATCTTGGCTAAAGGGCAGGTACCCACCAAGTCACTCTATCACTTCCACCCCCTTCCCCATTTTTTCTCAACAGGGCAAAGAGGGGAAAGAAAATAAGATAGATTAAAAAAAACCCAATACTTGTGGGTAAAATAAAAGAAATTTTAATATAACCTAAGCAAAGCAAAGGTCCTTGTGCGGAAACAAAAAAAAAAAAGAAAACAGATTTATTCTCGCCTTCCCATGAAGAGGCGGTGTTGGGCCTTCTCAGGAATCAGGGCTCTGATATGCATAGTGGTTGCCTCAGAGGACCAAGGGTGACCCCACCCCCTTCCTCCTTTCTCCCAGCTTTATACTGACAGACGTCATATGGTATGGAATATCCCTTTGGTCGGTTCAGGTCAGCTGTCCTGGTTGTGTCCCCTCCCAAGATCTTGCCCACCCTGTCCCACTGCGGGGGTAAATGTCGGAAGGAGCCTTGGTGCTGTGTAAGCACTGCTCGGCAGGAGCCACAACACCAGGGTGCTACCAAAACCCTGCCAGCTCCCAGCATAAACCACAGCACCGTGAGGGCTGCTGTAGGGGAAAACCAATTCCGGCTCAGCCAGACCTAGTACAGTCTCCACCTCTTATTCCTCACATTTACGTCATGCCCAGGTCCCACATAATACTCATTTATCCATTCCATAAGCTTTCTTCACTCCTTCAGTGACTTGGCTCCCTGTGTTGGTTTAGGCCCTGCTGGGACCGGAGACCGCATTGCCGTTGTCCCTCCCCCACCCTCGGACACAAGTAGGGCACAAACCCTGGGTTAAAATAAGAAGAAATTTAATACAACAGTGTAAAAAACAATCTGAACAACAACAGTAGCAATGATAACAACAATAAAAAGCAATAACAGTGAACAAGACAAAAGATATACAGAGAGATACTGTAATGGATACAGCCAGCCCATGCCTGCTTTTCTTCCACCAAAGCCACAAAGGAAAAATCTTCCTGCACTGCTGCTCTGGACCTGACTTCAGCATGGTATGAATAACCCGGGGTGAGATCCCTTCCCCCTCTCTGCTGGGGAAACTTAACCCTATCCTAGCTGAACCAGGACACTCCCATCTGTCAAGATGGATGTTCAGGACAGGAGCAGTATGTTTGACTGTTGGACTCCAGCACCGCCTAGGTTTGGGTCATCATTGCACATATCTGGTTCACTCTTCATTGTTCCTACTTCCTCCATCACTTCCTGCAACATACAACTCACCCCACAGATTATTTTCCCCAAGGGTTAAATATCCTTGAGGCACACACTGAGTAGTCCCATCCTCCAACGTTACCCACCAAGTACATCCAGGTCCCTGAGCAAAGACGATCCCACGAGTGAGTTTGCCTTTTCCCAAGGGAGGAGCAATCCACACTGCTTTGCCCAGCCATTTCCGTGTGTGTACTACAGGGACCTTATCTCCTCCCACAGTATGAAGGGGGTTTGTTTGGGCAGGATTACAGGTTAACACATCCTCTGGTGTTAGTTAGCCAAGTGGCTTCTGCTAAATTTATATCCCAGCGCTTCCATCCCCCATTGTCCAATGCTTTCAGCATAGTCTTTAAGAGTGTGGAGAAGAAGGCTGAGGCGCTTAATGCCTTCTTTGCCTCAGTCTTTAATAACAAGGTTAGTTGTATTGATGAAATCCAGCCTCCACAGCCAGAATACAGAGACTGGGAGAACGACCCCCCAGCAGTCCAGCAGACAGTCAGTGACTTGCTGCATCACACAGACATACACAAGTCTATGGGACCAGATGGGATACACCCAAGGGTGCTGAAGGAGCTGGCTGGGGTGCTCACCAGGCCACTTTCTATCATTTACCAGCAGTCCTGGCTGACTGGGGAGGTCCCTACAGATTGGAAATTGGCCAGTGTGACGCCCATCTATAAGAAGGGTTGGAAGGATGATCTGGGAAATGACAGGCCTGTCAGCTTGACTTCGGCACCCAGGAAGCTGATGGAGCAGCTCATCCTAAACACCATCATGCAACACATGAGGGACAACCAGATGCTCAGGCCCAGTCAGCATGGGTTTATGAAAGGCAGGTCCTGCCTGACAAACGTGATCTCCTTCTACAACAGGGCGACCTGCTTATTGGATGAGGGAAAGGCTGTGGATGCAATTTACCTTGACTTTAGCAAGGCTTTTGACACCATTTCCCACAGCATTCTCCTGGCAAAAATGGCTGCTCGAGGTTTGGACAATTGCACACTTCACTGGGTCAAAAACTGTCTGGATGACCAGGCCCAAAGAGTTGTGGTGAACGGAGTTAAATCCAGTTGATAGCCGGTCATGAGTGGTGTCCCCCAGGGCTGGGTTTTGGGGCCACTCCTGTTTAACATCTTTATTGATGATCTAGACAAGGGGATCGAGTGCACCCTCAGTCAGTTTGCAGATGACCCCAAGTTGGGTGCGAGTGTTGATCTGCTCGGGGGTAGGGAGGCTCTGCAGGGAGACCTGGACAGGCTGGAGCCATGGGCTGAGGCCAACTGGAGGAGTTTCCATAAGGCCAAATGCCGGGGGCTGCTCTTGGGCCACAACAACCCCCAGCAGCGCTACAGGCTTGGGGAGGAGTGGCTGGAGAGCTGCCAGTCAGAGAGGGACCTGGGGGTGTTGATTGACAGCCAGCTGAACAGGAGCCAGCAGTGTGCCCAGGTGGCCAAGAAGGCCAATGGCATCCTGGCTTGTGTCAGCAATAGCGTGGCCAGCAGGGACAGGGAAGGGATCTTACCCCTGTACTCGGCACTGGGGAGGCCGCCCCTCGATTCCTGTGTTCAGCTTTGGGCCCCTCATTACAAAAAGGACATTGAATGGCTCAAGCGTGTCCAGAGAAGGGCAACGGAGCTGGTGCAGGGTCTGGAGCACAGGTCGAACGGGGAGGGGCTGAGGGAACTGGGGGTGTTTAGTCTGGAGAAGAGGAGGCTGAGGGGAGACCTCATGGCCCTCTACAGCTCCCTGAAAGGAGGGTGCAGAGAGCTGGGGATGAGTCTCTTTAACCAAGTAAGAAACGATAGGACAAGAGGGAATGGCCTCAAGGGAAAGTTCAGACTATATATTAGGAAGCATTTCTTGACAGAACTTGTTATTGGGTGTTGGAATGGGCTGCCCAGGGCAGTGGTGGAATCCCCATCCCTGGAGGTGTTCAAGAGTAGGGTCGATTTAGAGCTTAAGGATCTGCTGTAGGTGGGAACTGTGCAAGGCGAATGGTTGGACTAGATAATCTCCAGGGTCCTCTCCAACCTAGATGATTCTGTGATTCAATATTTCCAGACACATGTGGGTAATAAGGGATGTGATACTCTGTTTTACCAATTATTAGGCATAGCATAAAGGACACAGCCAGCATAAAAATGAACCAATAACCAAAGTGTATTTGATACAAAAGGGTCAGTACATGGGTGAGCGCTGGGGCTACAAACAAGTCAGATTATACATAATCGACATCAATCCCACTGACCCCAACAATGGCACCACACGACCAACAACAGGTGGAATAAATGGTGAAATGCAGTCTCCCATAGAAGGGACAGGAGACAACCGAGTCAACAAGCCAAACACATAAGACCAAGGAAGCCACATACTGAATCTCTACACAGCCCACGTTTACAAAAGCCAGACCTGACTGGAGCCCAGTCCCAGGGAGGCAGGAGGTCCTTCTCCAACAGCAAACACTGCAAAGTGCATCCACCTCACAGACAGACACTGCCCTTCCTGCAAGTGGTCCCAGCTTTTATCCCTAAGTGGGACACCTGACCTTTGCTTACTTAATGCAGACACCTGGGGCTCATTTACCCAATGGCTCTCCCTGCATGACTGGCCGCACCCTGGAGGGAAGCCTAAAGGTAAACTCACTCCCCCCCTTTGTGACGGGCTGTGGGAATCACCCATATGTCAACCTTAATTTGGGGCTTGGGGTTGAAAACCCATCGTTTCACTGGGCCCCTTGACATATGGGTGGACCACAGCCCTCACACAATCTCTAAGTGTGACATCTTTATCTTGTATTCGGCTACAGACACTGCCACAGTCATCTAAGCTGTTTCTTCATATCTGCTTTGCACAGTTTAGCGTCAACTTGTATTCCAGCCTGTATGCTGCCCATTCAGGTCGAATACATTTGCCACAGGAGCGATTTCATATTCCAGGAAGTGCCACACAAGATCTAGAAGACAAAACCTTAGACCATCGTTATTCCCGCAAATAACATATTTTGCGGGGACATGTTCCCATTTTATCTGTCTAGGCTTCATGATTAGGACGGCGTTATCTTTTCCTACAGCTATTACTTCAGCTGGCTCAGGGGGGCCACTCAGCCCTTGGACCCATACTTTTGCCCCATTACTGAAGTTGGTGGATCCAAATCCTTTGTCTCCACGAACAGTAGTGACTTGGGGTGGATCCCCCTTCCTCACCGTTGTTTTCAAGATTGGTAATATTAATAGCTGTGCTACTCTATCATTGGGTTGAATATCTAAATCTTGTTCACCATTATTCAGCAGGATTACTTTGATCTCTCCCTGGTAGTCTGCATCAATCACTCCTCCCATTACATGAATGCCTTTTAGGGCTAGGTTTGAGCAAGCAGTTATTAAACCAAAGTGTCTTGGGGGAATTTGGATTCCTATCCCAGTGTTAAATAACACTTGTCTGGCCTCGATTTATCTTTACCAGTTCTGATGCATAAAGATCTAGCCCAGCAGCCTCTGGAGTGGCCCAGTAGGGGGCCATTGCCCCTGGAACCATTTCCCAGTAGGTTAAAGTTTCAGTTACCATTAGAGGCTCTATTTGCAGATTGTGCGTAGTGATACGCATCAAGGGTGTCTCCATCTCCCCAATGGGTTTATTGTTGAGGGTGTGGAGCACATCTGTGAGGTTAGATCTCCATTGGGATAGGTTTCCATTTCCCAGCTTTTTTAACTGCTCCTTTAAAAGCTCATTCATTCATTCATTCATTCAATTAATCCTGCAGCCTGTGGTTAGTATGAGATATGGAAGATCCATTGAATGTTATGCTGCTCTGCATATTGCTGTACAAATTTATTTCGGAAATGGGACCCATTATCACTTTGTATTTGTAAGGGGATGCCATAGTATAGGATCATTATATCTATGGTAGAGGTAGTACTACGGTGCGTGGCTTTTCTGCAGGGATAAGCAATGAAGTATCCTGGATATGTGTCAGCTGCGGTGCAGATGTATTTATACCCTCAGTCCTGGGGTAAAGGGCCAATATAGTCGATCTGCCAGATTTGTCCTGGCAATTTCCCTCTTCCCAATTCTCCTTTTACGATATTTTGTACCAGGCGCTTATGAGTATGCTGGCACAGAGGACATTGAGCAATTATTATTTTGATCATATCCAGTGACATAACTATGCCACACTCTTGGGCCCACTTGTAAGTGGCCTTTTCCCCAAGATGCCCACATTTCTGGTGTGCCCATTTTGCCAAGCCTTCATGGTCTCCTTCATGAGGGAACTCCAGTCCAGCTTGGCAAATCTTTGCCCGGTTATCAGTGACAGAATTGTAAAGACACTCAAGTGAATTTATCTATGAGCATGTACATGGAATACTGTCGCCTTGGTTCTTTGAAGCAATTCCCAAATATCTTTCCATATTGCCTTTCCCCAGACCATTTTAGAATAAATTTTCCAATCTTTGGCTACCCATCCTCTTGGGTATTGGCTTGGATTGGCATCCAAGTAGCCAATCCATTTGCCACTGACTAAGAATCAGCATATAGGTGTCATTCCCCTAAATCCTCTTGTTTTAAAGCCATATATACTGCATATAACAGCATATTGGCTACTTTCCTCTTTTCCTGTGGTCTCCAGAAATTTCCCTGAAGGAGGATAAGCCACTGCCTTCCAAAACCTTTTCCCTCCTATATATTTAGCTGACCCATCTGTAAACCGTGAGTGTTCCCTTTCAAGAGGTAGCAGCTGATCCAGGGTCTTCCCCCATTGCACTGAGGATTCCTGTTCAACTATAGGATCAGGCTTTACCTCTTGATCCTGCATGGGGGCAGCCACTACTTGCTCACGGAGGGCAGCAACACCACCAGGTCCCACCTTAGCTCTGTCCTGGATGTACCATTTCCATTTTATAATGCTCGATTCTTGCGCATACCCTATTGAGTGAGTCTTTGGGGAGCTTTTAACCCACTGCATAATAGGTATTTCGGGGCGCAGGGCCACCTTGTGACCTATCGTGAGCTTCTCGGTTTCTATCAAGGCCCAATAACAGGCTAACAGTTGTTTCTCAAAGGGCGTGTAATTATGTCCTGCCTCTGGTAACTTTCCTCCCCAAAATCCTAACGGGACTCTTCTTTTCCATTGTTTCTGCCAGAGGCTCCAATTAACATATGACCCATTTACAGATACATTTAATTCTACTTCGCCATCCTGCATGGGCCATAAGTCCAAAGCCCTTTGAATAGCCTCTTTTGCCAATTCAAAGGCAGCCTGCTGTTCATTTCCCCATTCAAATTCATGCTTTTTGTGAGTTACCTTGTATAATGGGACCAGAATCTGTCCTAAATGTGGAATATGTTGTCTCCAGAAACCAAATAGTCCGATAAATCTCTGTGCCTCCTTCTTATTCCGTGGTATAGCAAAGTCAAGAATCTTTTGCAGAGCTTTAGGTAGTATTTCTCGATGACCACAGTTCCAATGTATTCCTAGGAATTTAACAGTCTGAGATGGCCCTTGGATCTTAGTAGGATTAATCTTCCAACCTTTCTGCCTCATATGCGTTAGTAGCACTTCAAGCATTTGTTGTGATTCACCCTCATTGGTCCCTTGAATCAGGATGTCATCAATATAGTGGATTATTTGCATATGAGAAGGGAGCTGTACCTCATCCAGGTGCTCAGCCACTATTCTATGGCAAATAGTTGGACTATGAACCCATCCTTGAGGAAACCTGGTGAAGGTGTACTGCCGTCCTTGCCATGTAAATGCAAATTGATCCCAATGCCCTTCTGCAATCAGAATTGTAGAATATGCATTGCCCAGGTGAATGACAGTGTACCACGTGCCAGGATGCCTCTGAACTCTTTCTATTAAAGTGATCATATCAGGTACAGCTCTCACAAGAGGTGGGGTGCTCTTGTTCAGTTCTCTATAATCCACAGTTATTGTGGTAAGGCATTAGCTGTCTTTTTCTACCTGCCAAGTCACAGAAATGTGGCACTCAGATCACAGCTAACCCTTGCAGGAGGTTAAAACCTTCATGGGAACAAAAGCACAGACACCAATACGATGGTTGCTACTTGTTCAACTTATTAACTGCGCAGTTGCTTTATATAAGCTCCTTAAAGGGATCCACCTTAAGCATGGCAGTGTTTTGGTAACATTCTTCTTTGGCATGATTGATTGGTTCCCTATTCTTCCCGTACATTGAGAGGTCTTCTGAGCACCTCTCCCTACACTTCCCCCTCCCCATGCTATATAGCTATATTTGTAATAATTGAAGTGCTTGTTGTTCTATTTCTTCATACGTAGGGTTTTTTACTCCATTCCCTTTTTCCTTTGCTTTCTCTTCATTCTTTTCCTGTATTCACCACAGCTGCTGCATGCTTCTCTGTAGTGCTTGCCCATACGTTGGGTCTGGGCGGGATGGTTTGTCTAGTGAAAGATCCAAGTAGCCAAAAGCCACAGAAAATCTGCAAAAACTTTTAAGAAGAAATGGTTATTTCAGGTTTTATACATTGTGCAGGTATCCATTTAATTAAGCCATCCTTTTCCACTGCTGCGTACCCACACCCAAACCCTCTTAGCGACAAGCCCGATTCCCATGGTATCGCTCCTGGTTCCCTGATCTGAACCAAAGAATGGTTTTTGTTGCCTGGGTTGGAATAAAGTGTTTCCACAGGGGACATGTGGCCTCATTGCCTCTAACAAATTCATTAAAAGCATAAAGGGCACGGGACAAAAGAGTCTGCTGTCGGTGTATGGGTATGTGCCCTTATGACCTTCCCCCTCCCCAAGCTGTTGTAGTTTTTCTTTTAGGGTGCGATGCGCATGTTCCACTATTGCTTGCGCTTTTGCCCTTCATGATTGGTACCGGCATGGTGTCCATGCGCTTCCTCCTGCTGGGCAAACATCTTGCTTTCAACAGTACAGCTTTCTTATCTTTTGCTACACACACTGTTTGTCAGCCCCTTGGCTTTGCAGGTGTTCTTCACAACAGGTACAGCCTGTTGTTACAGTGAAGCCACTCGATCTGGATCGCTCATAACATGTCTGTTGGTTTTTTAACCAGTCAACGAATCCCTCTTTTGGTTTTTGAGCGATCTAGACCTCTTTTATTGTTCGGTCCATCATTTTCATAAAACACTTCCACACACAACATCATGAAAAGATTACAATGACAATTAAAATGGTTATTCCGTATAAAACCAAATTCTTTACCCATCTAGTAATTGGTAACCTTTTAGCTGAATAATTATTAAATATTCTTTCTTCTTTGAGATGTAAACCTATCATGTAAGCATCACTACAAAACCAAGTGTCATTTACTGGTACTGCTGAAGGAGTCATGTTTTGCCATCCTAGCCTATATACATCCCCAGGCCTCATCTTGCATGCTATGCCCAGCTACTGGGGAAGAGAGCCTCTCAGCTCTAACTCCAATCAAACAGGTCTGAGATGGGTCGGCAGCAGCTGCTAAGCCCAGGATAAATATCTGCTGTCCTGATTGATTTTTCCCTGCCACCTTGGCACAACTCAGCAGTTTCTTATCTATCTTAAGAGGCCTGTTCTTCATCAAAGCTTAGCTGTTTGTCAGAGGCTGTGTAAGGCTGATGCCTCCCAGATCTCGTCTTTCTCTGTTTTGCAGCAGCACCTACAAGACTTGTTTGGGAGCTGTTACCAGTTAAGGGTTAGATAAACTTCAAACACACAGCATACTTAGAATAGTTCCACAGAAGGCTAAAACAATACAGCAGTTACAATTACTAGTTAAAAATAGTAGGCTAATTTCACTACCAATAATTAAGGGATATGACTAAATACTACAAAAATAAACTAAGGAAAATACAGAAGAGCACATTTAATTAATAGAAGTAATATCATTCAGATCCACAATTGCTAGGGAACCCTGGATGCAGCAAGAATGTAGAGAACCTTTCCTTACAAACTGGAAATCCTATATGATGCGTCCATCCATAGGTGAGGCATCCAAAGACGCTGCAAACAGGTTCAGCCTCTAAATCAACAGGCCATAATAACTGGCACTTTTCTTCGAGTGGAAACATCTGATTCCATCCTCCTGTTGGGTTCCACCCTGAGCCTGGCCAACGCTCAAGGAGGAAAACCAAGGGAGTTTCTAGAAATGTTAAACACTTAAGCTCTTAATTCTTAATATTGCTAAACAAAGAAAGTTGAATACACACATTCTTACAGCATTTCATCCTTATTAATAACTACATTTCATCTAAACTACATCTTTCACTAGTGACTGGTAAGCCTAGATATCTCATTAAGGAGCAAACTCATTACTGTTAGCATTTTCTCTTAAAAGAACTGGCAATTGTAGTGTAGTTTGTTCTCTTGTAGTAGCAAACATTACCCAGACATTCTGCTTAAATGGTCAGTCGAAGTGATCGCAAACAGTTGGTACAGGGGCATCCACAGCAACCACAGCTGGATCCTGAGTGCTGGCTGCCTCTCACGCCTCAGGTATGGTTGCACACACCTTGCCAGTAATCACCAGGGACTGTGACCTGTGAAGACACAAGCATAACCTCTTCCCCAGGTTATTAAAGGAAAGGGTCCTTCCCAGTTACCCCTTTCTAGGTTTTTGTTAACACT